ATAGGAACTCGCATGTAATTATTTTAAACAAAATCGTATGTCAGTAAGTTATCTTAATAAAAATCACACCTCTTTGTCAGACAAAATAGGTTTCTGATTTACTTTACTAATAAAACTTGAAAATATTAATAAAGTATCTGCAACAGTCGAGGAAACAACGTCGTATTTAAACATATTCACACTTATACCTGAGTTTCGGGGCCCATATTCACCACTGGCATGATTCAACTTTCGGGGCCCATATTCACCACTAGCATGATTCAACTTTCGGGGCCCATATTCACCACTAGCATGACTCAACATATATATAAAGGTCAAAATAATTACAAAATTAACTTGAAATTAAAAATATTCCTACCTTCCTTCGTGAATAATAAAACAATAAATTAATGGTCTATTCCTTAAGTAATAGCAAATACTCTTGGATATTAGTTGGTTCTTCTTCGCATACTGATAATTCCCATGAAATTTACTTCAACGAGCAGTTTGTAGGAAACTTTCAATATTTTTTTTATCAATTAATTTAGACAAATGTCTTAAATTATCACACGTTCGAAGAGAAGATTGTCAGCCATGAAGAGAAATGGGGCTTCCGTCCCATCCTAAGGAAATGAAAAGTAAGACCTGGAGATGATTTAGCCAGCTAAACTAATCTTCCAAGTTCTAGTTTTTACTTCTTCGGATAAAATTCTAAATTCATCGGAAACTAGCAGCTAGCAAACATGGCGACAAATACGGTAGGTTATCTACTGTACCTTTGGATTTTGTCAAATACGGCAAACTCAGCTTTCTTTACACAAAGCTCATTTTGATAATAACTAAGGTTCTGGTAATTTTAAACGAACTATGCAGGTTGTTTTTATGTTGATGGCAAAACTAGAAGCAGATGGCAGGCCGAGAACGATATAACAATTAGCATTTGGTTGTTGAAAATAATACAGCAGATTCCTTTAATATGAAGGTGAATTCAAAAGGGAAACGTATTTCAACAGTGTATAGTGATAAAGAATGTTATATGACATCACAAGTGCAAATTTGTGATTATTTTAGAGATAGCTAATTATACATTTAAATATTTCTGTTTGTTTGTTTGTTTGTTTTGAATTTCGCGCAAAGCTACACGAGGGCTATCTGCGCTAGCCGTCCCTAATTTAGCAGTGTAAGACTAGAGGGAAGACTGCTAGTCATCACCACCCACCGCCAACTCTTGGGCTACTCTTTTACCAACGAATAGTGGGAGTGACCGTCACATTATAACGCCCCCACGGCTGAAAGGGCGAGCATGTTTGGTGGGATGGGGATGCGAACCCGCGACCCGCAGATTGCGAGTCGAGCGTCTTAACCACCTGGCCATAAATATTTCTGTCTCTCACTTGAAGTTTACATCTTCTCATCATAACGGACGTAGCGTGTATTTCAACATCTATGTATGTAACCAAAACTCCTGCGCCCTCTATTCAATAGCACCGCAAACAAAAAATTCATAACAAATTTCACACTTTGGATATTCAATATTCAGACAATTAGAAAATAACTGTGGCATGTGCAACAACCATTTCTTTATGATAGAACACAGTTTTAAATAAAAGTAATCTCTTCACAACAAGAACACGACTTTCGCTAAGACTGTACGTGAGAGTTTGATTATATCTTTATTGATTTAATTTTTAAAAGTAGTACTGAGAAACTATTATTTTTTCAATAAACGGTACAATTTTTAATATATAAAACATTTCAGTCTGTATCAGTAAAATATATGAAAATTTTGAACTCTGCACGTTGAATCAATTTGATTCAATGAATTGCGTATGACTAAAGAGCTCAGTCCGAACACTTTTCCCGTGCAGTACTTCCTAGAAAAAAATTCTTCTTTTTTTTCAGAAAATGTTCACTTTTTCTAATTTTTTTTCAGTGATATATCAATACTACGAGTAGTAATTACTAGCATAAATAACCGACCGTAGTGTGGCATTTCTGCTAGTAAGTGTAATTTAAGGTAATTTGGAAAGATAACGGATACGAACAACACACTTAACTGACAAAAATTATACGAACATATTTTTGTATATGTAACTAGATTGATCAAGTGATGTGTTAAGTGACTGCCTGAGGCTCCTAAGTGCAGAGATTTAGTCACATAATAGTGAGTCTACAAAACTATGGGTAAGAGCTACATAACATGAACACAGTAACATTCTTTTGCCACAACAGGAGCGCCACAGATAGAAAATGTTTAAAAAGTTCCACAAATGGAGATTTGGTTTGTCTAAAGACGAAATATCCGTTAAATTTATGTATTTTTAAATGTAAAAAATAAATAAGATACATACGAAATATGAGTTAAACTATCAGAAACTCACCAATTAAGTACAGAAATAAAATAAACAATGTCCTCGAGTACCATGATCACACGTATTTAACATTAAGATCGTTTAAACAATAAGATCTCCATACAGGTAATGCTGCTATCATAGGCATTTCAAAACTTATCAATTGAATAGCCTTGGTACAAATCTTAATGATTCCAGCATGTACAGCAATGTTATATTTATTAGATACTTATACCTAGAGTTATCAATAAAGGATTATGAAATATGATATTTAAAACTCATAGAACATTATGTGTCTAGTCTAATGTTTGATAATAAAAGGGAGGTTTATTACCATCGGCAATTTCATTATTATTGTCCGAGTTGTTTAAGCTATTTAAAAGTAGTTGGGGATTTATGTAATTAGATAATCTAGGAATTGTTTCTAAAACTTACATTTACTTATTTTTGGTTTTATAAATATGATCGTATTATGGAGAATCACAAATCATTTGATATTAGTTCAAATTTTGTGATCATTTTAGCCTTGGTGTCTTTAGAAGTTAATGATGTTTATCATGTTGAAGTAAATTTAGTCCGGTAATTTAAAATTAACAAATGATAAGGTTCATAATTAACCATTCAAATACTTGTATCTATCACTTCAAGTTTATATAATTGCTCAAAGAACCTTACATAGTTGAAAAGCAACATTCTAAATTAACGTTTGATTTTCTAATTGTATAATTTCGTTTCTTTTTACAATTACTAGTAATTAGAAAGTAATTCAAAATGGCCATGGATATATATCAGATCTCATTATGTATTGAAATATATATGTACATCATCATAATTATACGAGATTCCAAGCTGACCAAACAAACATTCTAAGTATACTACATTAAACTTAAAAAGAAAAGATTACTATGTAAGATGATATGGAAAACACTACCCTACTGAAGTTACAAAAATCGATATTTCGTTAGTTAAGTTCTTGTTTTAAGTGCTCGATCGGAGGTAATTTTTCAAATATTGTTATTATGATAAAATGTTTGACTTTTAAGTTGTGTTATGAAATACCGTAATTGATAGTAACAACTGTTGTTATTATGTTTATGAACACTGTATAAAATTCAGCATAAAGATTGTACATCAGCAAGCATACTTGTGTTCTGTTTTGTTAGCCCACGATGATTGTGTTGGTTTTAAATTGAACTAGTGTTGTTGTCATTCAAACACCGGACTTTTGTTCCACAGAATACAAAGTGTGTTCTTTTAAACATAATTTTTTATAGTGTATAGTTCATAAAGTGAGGAAGGATCAGTCCTTGTGATTAAGAAGGGCAGATGTACAGACTTGGTTCTGGCCATAGTTGTATTTTATTTCTTGAGCGTAGTCAAGCAGAACAATGCCTATTGAGGTCAGGAGTTATTTAGAAATACGTACCAATCTGAATTCCATAAAACAATAGTGGGATCTCTTTGGACACGAGTACTTTAACTTCTTAATCCGTTATTCTGATGTCATTTTGGCTTTATGTTGACTGAAGAATGGAACAAGATCTTCCACGAAGTCGTCCACCGACTGAAGAGAAATTTGTTTATTGAATTTGCGCAGAGCTAACTCGAGGGTTGATTTCGCTAGCCGTCCTTAATTTTTATAGACTGCAGGAAAGGTAATTAGTTAACAACACCTACCGCCAACTTTCGGGCTAATTATATAATGTATCTAGGGCCCTTAAAGTGCGAAACGCAAATTTTTTTGCGGTAATAAGATGCGAACCACGGATCGTTAGCTCCACAGTCCGACAGGTTAGCCATTATAAAATCAATAAAACCGATTCATTAACTGCATCTAGTTAATAAGTTGTGCTCTCAAGACAAATTATAATATTCAACTCTGTTGTTCGTTCAAAAATTTTGTCTCTTTAATACTTTTGGAGCATAAAACAAAACCTACTCGACTATATTATAGGCCTAAGTTGCAACTGCTGGCAATATTATATTTGTTACAGTTTTATTTGCTCTTATATATTATTTTACCTGAATATTATTATTTTTTACTTTATCAATATCAGTTAGTTCTTTAAATATTCTTTAATTTGAGAACTATGCGAGAAGAATATCGGCCGATATGTGGTAAACGTTACATTAAAAGTTAATCGCACATAAAAAAAATAACGTTCCAGGTTTTGTGTTTCCTTTCAAACTACTACTTCTGTTGTCGTTTGTGTTCAGTCTGATTATCATGATTACACAAATTTCCCACACCACAATTTCATATGTAACAAGCTTATGTAAAAGACGGCAAGAATAAGTTTAGACTACATACCTTGACACACTTTCCATACACATAAAACACTTCTTTGTATGCCAATTTTGGCTTCTAAAACCACATTTAAACAGAAAAAAAAAGGCAAGGAATTTCATTGGAACTGAATCAGGAGTTTTTACAGGAATAATATGGTCGAATGGGATTGCAGTGATTCTTCATTCATCTTCCTCATGGCAACCATCATTGATTCTGAGATGTGGCTAAAAATTTGTGAGCCTTCGTCAACTTCAAATCCGTGTTTATTATCTTGCGAATATCAGCCAATATCAGAAGTAAGGCGATATTTTCAGCTTTATCGCGATGAGTCAGGGAGTTCAGTTTCATAGTCATAATACCTTCATTTTGTGATTGAACGGGATACTCCATATCGAAATGAAATGTGTTTTCGGAACTGTGCTTATTCTAAACGCTCAACAAAGTTATTATTTTCATAAAGAGTATTACCATCTTTCATCTGTGAAATGTGTTTTCAGTTCTACATCATTTGATAATATCATAATACAAACGTCCTTTCTGGAAAAGCTTGTGACATATTTTTTTAGTTTTATGTCCAATCAATACGAAACTACACCGTTGAACGATCTGTAATTCACCGTGAACCCACCATAAGCAAATTAACAGATCTGATAGACATCATTGCAAAGGCTCTACTTTCACATAGGTCCACATAAATCTCTAAACAGCTTCTTAAATACAGAGATTCGAACAATTGTTTTAATTTTTGTTACGTTTATAATTTACATTTGTTTTGTTTATCACTGTTGTCTAAAATATGTTTTATGTGGCTGGTAATTATTCTAGTTGCATAGCGTAAAGAGCTTTATTCAATAATGGTTTTTTGAAGACAACTTTTCGAACTTCTAGCTATGTCTTCGTGAAATCTGATGAAGATCTGAAATCCCAGTCCTATACATTTTTTGTTTTAACTACCATAGGAGAATGAAACTCGTCTCTATATCCAAAGTGAGCTTATCAGCCATTCACTTGATGGATGTCTGGGTCTAATGGTTAATATGTGGGGCTGGGAATTGGTTCAAAGAGTGAGACACAGGCTATACTGAAGCGAGTGTTGCCGGCTGGTTTCCTTCTCAAAATTAAGAACGGCCATACATGAATTCTAGGAGTCTCTGACCTAGTCGTTTAACCCACGTGCTCGTAATATCGAAATTTTTAGAAGATTTTACGTAATAAAAATTAAACTTTAACTGAGATAATTTGACAACAGCTATAAAATGCTATTAAGTACAGATAGGCCACTGGATGGCAGATAATTATGGTAGAAAGAAGGCGTTCCCCTTTTATATTCCAGAATGTGGGAAAAACGTAAAATAATATTAAACCACTAGCTGGAATACCCATCCCCTAAACGGAAGTTATGTAAATTCATGATTAATGAAAGGTTATGTTAGGACATGAAAAATTGCTTCCCTTATATGTAATTGTAAAGAACGCAAAAACGGCCATAAAGTTTGCAATATGCTAAATGCAAAAATGAAAATTTGTATGTATCTTCCCATGGACCTAATGAACCTATATACCAAATTTGGTGAAGATCCATCTACACCGTGCAAAGTGGTTACATGGACATACAACAGACAGTACTATGAAATTTCTATAGATTTAACATAAAAGTAGGTTTTAAAATTACTTACATTTTATTTGAATTGCTTAACTGAACCAAACACTGGTCCCCAAACCATTTACAATAAAAGTTTCTTGCAGGACACTAAGTGAATGCTGTAGATGACAAACTGGTGAGACATATTTACCGCTTCAAGAGAATCAAAAACTGCAGTGAACAACCTGATTTTAGAAGTGGCCAGATCTACAAAAAGCCAAGTGGCCAAGGGCCGAAACCTGTGAGACAAAGTTTACCATATATTTTGGAAATATTTAATATTATTCGTGAATTAGGCCTTTTAACGAATATAGTCTGTGGAATGTTACTGAAGAAAAAAATAAGTTACATTAAATATAAATGTTCTGGATGTTGTATTTATTTTTAACGAATAATCAAGAAGAATCCGCAAACAACTGTGACTTTTAACACTTGGGGTAATTTTAACACACTTTATGAAAAAAACAAAACTTAACAACAGTCTGTAGTTCATTAATAAATAACAGAACATTTATTTCTTTTAAGAGGGGCCGTTTTTCGTTTATGATTTTAAAATTCTTAAGGGCCGGATGAAAGCAATAAACGTATGTTGTGCACCACTGTTTTAAAAGTGCACCAAAGAGACATAAAAAGCGATGTCACTAATACATTAGCAGTAACTTACAGTATCCAACAATAAACAATGATCTGATGGACTTCAATACGCAAAAAGCAACAACAACAAAAAAATCAAGGAAGCTATTGCCATCAAAGCATATAACTGTAAACAACAGGTAGATAGAATCACAATAATCCCACGATCCTGTCTACAACTGTCATGTCATCACGGACATTGAATGGATCGCTAATTTAAAACTTAAAGCAAAAATGCGGATTTTATAATTTTGTTGAATAGTTTAGATTTGAAATTAACATTATCAATGTATTAACACTGTTCAGTATTCTAAAACTGCTTCGTTAAAGAGGTCAAAAGCAAGTATTAAGTACAATTAATATCGTAGTGAAAATTCCTAAAAAAATATTTTAACAGAAACTGAATAATATCGCTAGAAGTACAGGTTAAAATGATGATTGTATTGACAAATATAAATAGGATTCACTAGTGACATATTTCATAACTTGGAAAACAAAAAGTACTGTAATTGACCTTACCTCGCACAGTTAATTTTTCTGGTGACCGGAGAGTGTGTGCTGTCAGTACTGCAGGAGGGCTTCGCCCTCTGGCGTTAGATGCTAACACTAGAAAGCGTATAGCTGTGTTTACTGGGAGTTGTGAGACGGAAAATTGTGGTTCAGTTGAGATGGTTATGTTAGCTAGCATATTTCCATTTTCCAAACTATAAGCTTCAATTGTGAAACTTTGGGGCAAGCCACCGTCATATCCCTGAAGGCACTGGACAAAGATAGTTTGTTCCGTCTGATTCAGCACAGAACAGTTTTTCACAGACTCTGGTGGCCCTGTGAACGAATAAATAGTCAACATACTATGCCTAATTACATAAAATTATAGTAACTTCTTAAGTTTTGAAAAGTATTGGATTTGAAAGTCATCATTCTATCCTAATTAAATACCCGTGAACTTTTTTTACCCGTTTATTAATGTTTTCTATTATTGTTGTGTTACAAAAATGTACAGTTGTTTTTTTTTTGACAAATATTGATTCAGCCGCAAAGCGTTTAGAAAACCATGAATTTTCCAGGTATCAATACTATATTGAAGCAAAGATGGAAATGTTGTTTATCATATCATATTTTCCAAACGATGTATTTTTCTTACATACACCTCTATTGGAGTAAGGTTTCATACAGGTGATTTCAGTTGATAGTATTCAAACTAAGGTGTTTATGGGTCAGACTAACAATATTGATACGCACAGCTTATTTGGTTGATTCCAAACTATTGGTTTCGTCAACACTGTTCTAAAAAAATAGCTCAGACGGCTAGTTTTATTTACACAGTTCTCAAAACACTATCTCTGACAAATAGTTCCGGTTACACAGATCTAAAAAATTAACTCGATAAATAGTTGAGGTTAGCCAGTGCTCAAAAAATTAGCTCATATAAATAGTTTAGGTTATACAGTGCTTAAAAATTAGTTAATATAAATAGTTTCAATTAAATACTTTTTTAAGATTTTGAGTCAGGGAAATAGTTTCAGTCAAATAGTTCACAAGCAGTTAGCTTGAATAAATTGTTTTTATTCACAGTTATCAGGCTCTATGTCAGACAATAAGAGGAGCATAGAACAGTTTCCTAAAGTTTCTTAAACTACAAGAATAAACACACATGCTTGAAAAGATAAAACTTTCATATTTCTTCTGTCTGACAGAAAATAACATTGTCCAAGCACTTCTACGTAATAAGACAAGCTGTAGAGTAAGGCTACGTATACATATAATACACAGAGCCATGCCATTTTCGTAAGACAAAATCAATATATAAGGTTATAATTACAAAAAATATATAACATTTAAATATTTCTGTGTAGGTTTTATATCATGTTTTTTTAACCTAATTTCGATTTTCTGTGATATTATAAAATTGAATATGATAGGTAGTTGAGATAAAAAAGTAACTACTATTTTAACACATTAAACATAATAAATTAAGTTGTGGTAAAAGTATTATTGATTAAATTTGGTTCGATATTCGCTAGTTAAAGCGAATTAAATCATACAAAATAATTCAAAGCATATAACAAAAGAAATATTTTTTATGACTAAAATTACCTAAAATATTTCAGTTTTATTCTCTTCGTTGTTTTTATTTTCATATCAGCGTTTTGTTTAAGTTGTTTTGTGCTCTTAGAGATTTGACTATCAACTAAAGTGCAGAGTTATCAAGCAAAACGAATTACATTAAGGTTGCTTACTCTGTTTCTAGTGTGTGCATGTGCACTCGTGTGTGTGTGTGTATGAGATAAATAACATAACATGATTCTCTATGGAAAGCAGAAGTCTTGTCAAAAATATATTAAATGTTTAAAAAAGACTCTTGCCGTCCCTCCAGTATTTCAATGGCATAGCGTTTGCCTAATCAATACACGAATCTATAGGTTTAAACTAGAGACAATAATACAATCATTTTAAGATCCTAGTAATCACATAACCTCTGATGAAAATAGTGAGATTTATCTCATAAACTCCTTTTTCATTTTAATCTTGCTAAGTAAACCTTTCTTGAAGATATTTGACATTTGTGTAAAATGTTTAAAATATCTTGCTATGAAATTATTTACAATAAGGGATCGCTTCATTTCTTCAAAATACTTCACATTATTCCTAAACGAGAGCTCAATTAATTAATGGGAGGGGTTTTTATGTATCACTTAATTAGTTTTTTTCATTGACGAAACATTAAGAAATGCTATTCTATCTAGGTAAAAAGTGATTAAATTAAACTATCGACAGCGAAATTAATGGGTAGCAAACTTGTAGAATGTCGAGTTTTTTTTATTTTATGAAAATATGATTTTCAGCTAACAATAACATAAAGAGCAATATATATATATATATATGTTATAAGAAAACTAAATAAAGCAATATATGCTATTTTTATAATAACCAGAACATAGATTTTTAAATGTTTTAATACATCTTTAACGTTTAGCAACATTCTTTCCATTAGCATTTTGTAAAATCTTACAAAAAAGCAAGAATAAATAATACAATAAAATGATAAAAGGCAATATATAAATACCGAAAATATAGACTCCTCGTTAAGACTAACAGAAATGCAGCACTATATATTTACAGAATTTCCTGACAAGGCTGAAGACTGGTTACTCTTAATGAGTTTATAATCTTTGTGAATAGAGTTGGTCTCTGGAGGCGATGGTTTGTGAATGGTGTTAAATGTGGCAAGAAGGTATTCTGCTTTAAACGCTGATATGCATGTTGCAGCATGTAGTGATTACCTAAGCACGCAATGTTGGCTTGGATTATAAATGTTTAAACATATTGCTACGTTGTATAACAATGAAAATTTATGTTGTGTGCGTATTAAGATTTCTGTAATACATTATCCACATATTAACACATAACACGGTTCTATTTATTATGTTTAAAAGGCTGACTATATTTGGTCATTTATTTTGTTCGTTAAAAGAAAATAAAGTTTAGCTTATTAACATGGCATTACATTTTTTTTTATACGATACACTGTACATCAACAACCATTTTAGTTACCAGCTGGAACAATGTTGAAAGAACAACTGGCTTTCTGAACGCCGGCACTGTTGGCTCCCCAACATTCCATTGTGCCATAGTCGTTCCTTGTCTTCGGGACGTAAATAGCAAAACTCTGTGACTGGTTGCTAATGTAGTCTATGTCTTCAAACCGCTTTGCAGAAGTAGTTAACCGCCAACGAAATGCGATGTCCTGTGGATCAGCATCTAGTGTACAGCTGACTCGCACAGTTTCACCAATAGCTACTCCGTACGACCGTCTTTGATCCCGACAAGTAGGCGCATCTAAGAGTGGATATCAAGTTGATAATAAGATATGAAAATAGAACATAACTATTTAAGCCTTGATTTTTAATTTATTGATTCTTCAGACTACAGTAAAACCGGTACTGATCACAATATCACTGGATCAGTATTAAAAATGTATAATGGTATTTCATCTTCTTTCTAACTGATGTTGATATTTCTCAAACAAATTAAGTATAAAGTGTTTTAACGTAAAACTTTAATGTTACAACTCATCTGACCTGACGACCCATGGTTTTAATCTATAACTTATACACTTCATAAAATATATTAGAAATGTTATGATAGACTGTTTCTTCTATAAACTCATCATCAGCTGTGCAGTTGTAGATAAAGTGCTTAAACGTATTACGATTCATATAGCGATGTAACTTGCTGTTTAAAAGGGGACAAATTTATCCAACTCCGGTGTTATACGCCTTATACAGTTTGAAAACTAAGAAAGGTATGAATATACAGTATTAGAATTAATTACGGAAACGGTGAACAAAATACAAATACCATGCGATTTATTCCCATCTATTGGATGAAAATGAACTGCACCAGAGTAGATTCACGTGCTTATAGTTTACACTGTGAATAACTGTCATCTGTTATTAAGACTGTGTGGGTTTATGTGGAATATGTAAAGGTCAAACGGAAATAAACAACTTAATTAACATGTAGGGAGTCATACGGAACATCTAGAACAATATTTCGCAACCTTGTATTCTTAAATTTAAGGTAGTATTGAAACAACGTGTAATGTTCTGTTTAGATAAAATACAAAATACTAATGGTAGGGAGTCATACAGAACAATACTTTGAAATCTTGTATTCTTAAATTTAAGGTAGTATAGAAACAATGTGTAATGTTCTGTTTAGATAAAATACAAAATACTAATGGTAGGGAGTAATACAGAACAATACTTTGAAATCTTGTATTCTTAAATTTAAGGTGGTATAGAAACAATGTGTAATGTTCTGTTTAGATAAAATACAAAATACTAATGCAATATACAATTTAATCGCTTTTCTTTGGTATATTATGTTATAATGAACGTATTGGACTAACAATAAATTGGCAGTTTACTTGCATTTCCTCAATATTTGTGACTCATGTATGTGTATTACCCGTCTGTTTTCATAATTATTTCCAATATTTTATGCACACAAAAATCTTGCTGGATCCATACAGGTAATTTATTTCGAGAAATGTTGACTATACACTTATTTTTTTAAAATGATAAACTCAAGTGAGTGAAAAGATATTCAGTATTTTAGCTATATATTTTTAAACTACTTATGCACCATATTGTTTGTAGATCATGACTTTGTAGGTTACACAGTCCCTAATAACACATGACTTACACTAAAAATGAAACAATTGCTAATTACTATTGTGATCCTCTAAGTATTTTTCTATAGAACATAAGTGATTTCACCAAATCTTGTTGAACAATTATTTACACTGAGGCAAAAACATAAAATTACGCAATATGATGCAGTATGTGGATCCCACCGGTAGTGAACGACATAAAACAAGTCAATACCTTGAGGGTTAAAGTGATTTGGTTTTGAAACCTCCACGACATAATCATACAAATTCTAAAACTTTATTTGTCCTGGAATAATCTAATTTAAGATGTTTTACATGCGGACTAATAAAATCGAAATAAATCATGCTTGTTTTTGACACACATGGTTCCTTTTTCTCTTTCATTTCCTAAATCTCAGATTCAAATATTTTGATTTGATGAAAAACCGTGTTGCCTTAGGCCTGCCAAATTTTCTTCGTTTAAAAGTACTTTAGAACAATAATGAGCCTCTATCAATAATCTAGTCGTCCTTGTCCTGGCTATGTAACGTTTGTTATCAGTTATGAAGGTGAAACCTGAGGCTGAACTGAGACAATTTGGAATTCAATTTCAATCGAGCGTACCGTATACGAGGAAGGAAGTCACTCTACCGATTACTTTTAATAAATACAGTAAGGAACCAGAATATATCTGATGAAATTTTCTTGTAATCCACAACATGCTAACCTATAAAATATTTGTTTTCAATATCTGTGAACTGTGTGAAAAAGCGTGAAGGCTCATCCACACTGGACGCGAGTAATGCGAGCGACGTTGCCGAATGTCATTCCACACCAGATGTGAATTGGAAACCTCCCCAAAGACCGGAAATAAATATATGGCTCTGCTCGTACATTTCTATTAGACATGCTAGAGACGGACTGCCCCATTACAAAACAGATCGTTTTTTAACAACAAGAGCTTTGATGTTCGAAATAGTAGTGGCCTATGGTTAAACTGATATTTTCAACAAAATGAAAATCGCGCGACAAGGAAAAAAAATTAAAAATAGGGACGGGTTCTATTTTAGCAAAGCGAGAATTTTATAAAGCGATGCTCCTCGCGTCGCTCTCTGCTGGTGTGGATACTCCCATTGGACTGTAGTACTTCCAAATTATTCGCTTACGTCCATTGTGGATGAGCCTTGAGCCTGGTATGCGCGATTATCGTTTGGTTAAGGCACTGAACAAGAGATTACTGAAGTTTAACGCGCAGTTATAGAAACAATGTCACAGCAAGACTAAATATTATCTTAATTATACAAGTATCTTAAAGACTGGATTAACACTTGTCTATAGTGAGAGTCTTCATACGACGCTAACCCTAGGCTATATTGTATAGAGTATGAACTGTAATATGTAAAATAATATTAATAAATATATAGATTGTTTTTTTGTAATTAAGCACAAAGCTACATAATGGGCTATCTGTTATCTGTCCACCACGGGTATCGGAACCCGGTTTCTAGAATTGTAAGTCCGCAGACATGCCACTGGGAGCTCAGAAAAAGGAAGAACAAGTAAGTTGTCTCGCTAAGAAGTGATAGTAATTTCGCGTGTTTTTTTTTAAATCACAACGATAGAGCGTAACTGAAAACGCATTAGATATATGTGTGTGGATAGTATACGATTTGTTTCATTTTATCATTCTTGATAAACGAATTTCTTGTAAAAACGTATGTGGAGGGCGTTACTTAACTTTTATTTTATATTCGTTTTTGAAACCTAAAAACATAATAAATAGTCCATTTGAAAATTTTATTTGCTGTATATATTTACTCTATTACTCCAGCACGACAGTGGGTGTATTGTTTTCAGCCTGTGTGCCCTTAGCAATATAATTCAATATAAAAGGTCAAGGTCACACTGAAGGTCAACCATTTTGATTTTAATGAAAGCCAATAGGGATTTTGATTAAATTGTCAAACCTCGACAACAAAGTGACCTAAAAAAAACTATCTAGGCATTTAGACCTGCATTTTTAGGGTGAAGAAGTGTTCGATTTATATTTTTTTGGTTTGTTACTGAAAAAATGAAAAACTACGAGGCGGAGGTTGTACTTTTTTGATGCATCAGTATTAAGACTTTATTTTTAGCATTCCTTCCTATACATTTCATATAGCCATTTGTAACTTGAATATTTTCATTAAATATATCTAAACATTTATATTCAATTTCAATTTTTAGATTACAGTAAAGGAACTTACACTTAACTGTCATGTATATTTCGTTGCTGAAACCAAGACCTTCGGGGTTACTGGCGGAACACCTGTAGCGCCCTCTGTGAGCTCGGCTAGCTTCATGTATGACGAGCGTTCTATTGTATGTTGTAGATGCTGCAGCCGCAGGACTCAGTGAAAATTCTTTTCTATCAAACTCCCAAGTAACATCTTTGACAAGTGGACTAGCTTGAACTTTGCATTCAAATTTAACTTCTTCTCCTTCTCGAACGTCGCCTTGCTTGTCTAACTGAAGAAATAACTCTGGAGGATCTGTAAGCCAGAAACATTAAACTTAACAGAGAATCTGTCTTTACAGATCTATCTGTCTATATAAACAACTGATTATTAGACGACTTGCAATCAGATAGCATAGCTTGGAAGTAGAATTAACTTCATAATTATTTTATTAACAGCGAGGTGTATATATCTGCATATGTATCATGAGTAAATCTTAGAACCATTAGAGCTAAGGAAATTTCAAATGTTGCTGTAATTATGATGGTGTTATTTAAAAACAACGATATTCGTCGTTTTTCAAAAAAAAAATAAGTCAGAAAATAATAAATATATATACATCTTTAAGTCTTTAGATAATCTTAAAGTCTAATAAATTTTGAATAAAGAAAAGAACATTGAGTGTAAATACATATTGCAAATCTGTGTACCATTTAGTAGTAGATGTACTTTCGCTGGGTCTCCGAAAGTGTTTTTTTTTTCAAGAGTAAATAAACCAAAATTAAGAGTAACAAATATTTGTATTTCTTGCTTTTGAAGTTCATATGTCATGCTTTGTTGTGGCCTACAGAGTGCATAATTCTTCTCCTGATTCATGGCATGCTCACGTTTTACTGACGTCATAACAGGTACAAATTGTGACGTTAATCTTTTCTTATGTGACGTCGTTTTAGTGTCTATGACTAATTGACCGACAGGCAACATACTAGTGTATAGTGGGGCGAATGGTAAAAACAGGTGACCCCTGCAGGCGGCCTTCGGCCAACTTCTGGGGAAAAAAGAACCAGTGTCAACATAAAAACAATTGATGCAGTAATACGATAAGCCTTTTTAAGGCGCGTTTTCATCTAGTTTATCTTCTTACAATGTATCGTTTCTAGATTTAGTTTCAATATCGACAACAGAGACTCTTTTGGGCAGTGTCTTAAAGAAAAGCTTCAGAATTATATTTATTATAATAATACTCAGTTTTTGTCTATCTTAAAAATGCGCGCACACATTACTATCTAAATGCGCATGCATGCACACTTAATTGTTTGTTTGTTTGTTTTTAATTATGCACAAAGCTACACAAGGGCTATCTGTGCTCTGCCCACCACGGGTATCGAAACCCGGATTCTAGCGTTGTAAGTCCGCAGACATACCGCTGTACCACTGGGGGGCGCACACTTAATTTCAACGGATTTAAGTAAACGGCGGATGTAAATGTATTTTAGTAGACATTTATAAAACAACACATTAAAAGCTTATCAAAGTTTTTAAAAAGATCTAACGCTAGAGCGAAGAATAACATTATAAGTTTATTTATTGATAGTATTAAGAACGGAAATATTTTGCTCTAACTAAACTAAAGCAAACAAACGTACACAAGTTAGGGTTAATTTATCTTTTTATCGAATATAGGTTGTACTTAATAAAGGTTTATCTAATGTTAGTCCTAGGATTAGTGGATTTATAAATTTAAGTGTATATGATCAGATTTTTCTGTATTATTCTAGAAATCCTGTATTTAAAGAAATTCTGTTACAAGAACGATACTAATCTCTGCTAGTATAGAATAACTTTTAGATAACAAGGCCAAAAAACAACAATAACAAAAAAACGTGGTGTGTAAAAAAAGGTCGCGAAGTAAAATGTGGGAAGATTAAAACGAATCTTGGTAAGAGACGTATCTACAAATATAAGGTCCATGTAGCTATAGGGACACAAGTTTAATCTGTATTTGCAAACCTCACTTGTAAAACGAATCTTGTTAAGAGACGTATTTGCAAATGTAGGGTCCACAAATTCAATCTCTATTTGCAAGCCCCACTTGTGTAAGAAACAATAAACTAAAATTAAGATCATGGGTGCTCAAGCATGCAACGTCTCAATTAGTTTACCATTCCCGTAATTACGCGAAGAACATAAAATCTAAGATGATTAGATTGTTTATTATTATCAAACGAATAAAAAATTGCACTTTCCCATCAAATTCCAACAATTTAGAAATACAACTGCAGACAGGTGCCCTGCCTGATAATTGCAACGTTAAAAAAAAAGCTCAATTGCATAAATAAATTTAAACATATGCTAGTTACAAAAAAATGACCTTTAAATGTGTTCGCACCAAAATAGACATAGTTTAATTGAAATAACCTATATTGAAACAAAAGTAGACATTTGTTATAACAGTTTTTGAAAGTTTTTAACAAATATTCTCTAACAATATAACTTAATTTGTGCAACAATTTCTAATATGTATTATTAAATATTTTAAAACTTCATTTAAATCATAATGCTAAAACCATTATACTTTAGTCTTATAACAATGTCTACATTAAAAGGAAAATACTCTCGTTTATTGCAAGTTGTGCAAAATATCAGACATAAAAATAAGAAATTGGTTTGAAATAGATATTTTTGATAATAGTTGACTAATAACAATATTTTTAATAATAGTTGACTAATAACAATATTTTTAGTTTTTATTCAGAATTATTATAATTTCTTAGTTGTTAGCCTAATGAATACGTTTATTTATCAAATGTCATCATTAACGTGTAATCAAAGCAGTTTACTAAAATAGATCAGAACTGAAAGTTAACCATGTAATATATATCGGTAATTTAACACACCGTTCCTACTTGCAACGATTAGAATGCGCTGATTCATGAATTGGGTACCATAGCTGTTAGCGATATTTATGACTGTAATCCTAATAATATCTCATGGAGTTTTGCCAACTTAAGAGATTTAAGTTCGCCTTAAATCAGTATACAAGGCTAACAATGCAAAATAATAGCTCCGAAAGAGTAAAAATATTATATATAAGTTAAAGAATTTAACCAACATTATTAATGAAACAATCATTAAAGACAGAAAATAAAAAGTTACTTAGAAACACATAAAAAACTGACATTTGCTTGATATACTATTCCTTGAAAACAGTATATATGGTAGTAATATTGCTAATACTTTTAGTGACTCCCACGATAAGCTTATAACGCTAAAAATCGGATTTCGATACTCGCAGTGGACATAACGCAGAAAGCTCATTGTGTAACGTTGCGCTTAATAATAATAAGCAAACAATACATTTAGTTTGGAACCTCTATCCCAACAAGATTACTTCTATGGTACCGTATGAAGGAGTGAAGTCTCAGAAGTATTTTGATACCATGTCTCACTATATATGTAAACTTTAAGTCAAGTTATGCAACATTTAATGACCCTACTGTATATGTGCAGGAAAAGAAAAAACACGGGGTTTTGTCATATGTTATATATATTCATCATTGTGATTTTAATTATTTAATTTTTTTTCATATGTCTGCGGACTTAGAACTCTAGAAACCGGGTTTCGATACCGTGGAGGGCAGAGCACAGATAGCTTATTGTGTAGTTCGTGTTTAACTTCAAACAAAATAAAACAATTTTATTTTCAAACGCACGCTATTACTTCTACAAGTGCGTTCAGTGCAGGATCTTGTGTCATTAGTGTAGACTACATTATGTATCCTTCTGTTCCCACCCATTTCCGATGGGTGATGGACAGGATGGATTGGCTTGAAGTGCCATTTTTTTTTTCTCAGACAGATATCTGGTAATTTGATCGATTAAGGTGGTGATCATGACAGAGTACGGAAGGGAAGGGGGAAAAGATGCTTATTCTTGGCCTGTTTTTCTGCAGAAGACCTTGTACCCTATTTAATTCACGGCGGATCCTACAAAGTCTGCATCACACATTTTGTAAATTATTTTGTTGCAAGTTTTTCTCGTTTCTTCGCTTCTAGTGACATTTTTTCCCCCCAGTTCTGCGAATGCCAGACAGTCTTGGATGTTTAGCTGAACACATTTCAGAGGTTTTGTCTTTCCTACAGTCAGGACGCCACTGGTTTAGTAACAGTCTGTCTACGCATTTTGTGTAGCGATAAGAGTGTGGACCTCCTAGTTCAAGCTGTTTGCAATATTATATATTGGAATATATCGAGATTTATCCTTTACATACGTTGCGAACCATGTCTTCGCATTCAGTCATGTGGAGAAATGAACACAAAAGACTGCTACGTCTGTGCCAAGGGACCTAACGCCAAGACAGAATAAGTCTGAGGCAGCATTTTTCTGGATACTGTAGAGATGTTCCCCTGTCGCTGGTTCTATGTTTGTCACTCTCTGAAACTCCTGAGCTTGTTCAAATGCATCAAACCACAACTAAAGCGTTGACAAAAGAACTGCACAGCACACATGCTAAAGAGTGTTATGAACACCAACCCTCAAAGATTGTTTCCACCTTACTCGATGCTTTGGTGCAATTGTCCATTTAAATTACAAAATTTAGATATACCACAACATAATTTCATTATGGCACCAACACAAACACACGAAATGCCAAGCTTCATAAATTCATTATTTCTATTTCTCAAATTGTGGCTTTTCTCCCCCTTTTATTTTTTACTAGTTTGACTAAACCCAATACTTATAATACTTTTATGACTAAATACGAATTCTACAACTAAAATACATACATGTATTCACATATTTTCAAACCTAAAAACGACAAATTCTAAAATCCCAATTTTAGGTAGAGTTTTTAATTCTGTGTTTTCTTATGTATGTTGATGTTACAAAAAGTTCCATAAAGTGTTTACAGGTAGGTGTGCGAGTACAGATTTACACTCAGACCTCTATGAAAATATATACATTTTACTTTAAAATGGTACCAGGTATCGAATGATGATGAGGGGTTGCAAAGGTAACAAATAATTGCTGAAATTAGCTTGTTTGGTTTGGAATTTCGCGCAAAGCTACACGAGGGCTATCTGCG